AGTCTTTAAGATTTTAATTTCTGCATCTAACATGTATATTTTATTTTATTTCAGGTTTATTTCAATTGACAAAAATGATCTTTAAACACTGGGCTGTATTAGCAAACATGGACATTTAAATTAAAAAATAGAAATAAAATCTTTTTTATCTTATAAATGTTACCATTTTACTTGATTTTTGTTTCTGTTTTATAATAATAATAATCATTTTTCTTACCAATGTTACCATTTTATTTCATTAATATGCTATTTTTTATTGAGAAAGTACAATGTACCGTATCTGACAGAACCACTGAACCACTGACCAGTATCACCTTTGCACCCATTTCATAGAATGGCCTTGAAATCATTTCACCTTTCGGTTTTATGCAACTGCTTCCATGGAACATTCCTCGGATCGCTTTGTGTGTGTGTGGAAAAGACAAAGAAAGGAAATGAAATGCAGTCTGTCTCGTAAATGTTTTCCGTCTCTTTTTTTTTTTTTTGTATAAATGCTGAGAAATGCCCTTATATCAGGTGACGGCCAGTGTTCTGCTGTTTTTGCCATTCCTTTACGTCCTCTTTCCATCCTGGAGATACGGGTCACACACACACACACACACACACACAGTCAAACACACTTCTGCCAAAGCCACAGATCTGCTTGCATATCACGCATAATTTACTTTAAAAAACACTTAGATCCAGTCTAAACTAATGCTTCAATGTTACACTCAACCTTCTATCCCCCCCAAAAAAAGCATTGCACTCACTGCACTGGTATGATTATACCTGACGTGTCACTGATCGATACGGTTTTCACCGTAGGCTAATAATTACACTCACAGTACATAAATCAAAGATAATGTATGCAGCCTTCGCAAAGGAATCAGACATATTGGGTCGCCACATCTGTTAACCTGCGTCCAAATATCCTTCACAAAAAAAGAAACAAAAACACTTTTGTTGTACAATGAACAAGCGGCACGACACGGAAAAATCTTGAGCGCAAACAACTCGAAGGGATGTGAGCCTGAACAGAAAAGAAAACAAACATGCAACTATCTACAGTGGACCCCTACCTGCTGCTCAGTCCAGGAGAATGTCAACACACGCCTCCATCTCCACACACCTCAGAACTCGCCATTGTCTCCAGTACTGGAGGGACAGATAAGATTGTGCCGCATGGAAATATTTTGGGCTCTGACATTCCTGCCTGGTCTTTGCCGAGTGACGACCAATCCTTTGACACCTTGCCCTGACATCATCTGTGCTCATTTTTGCTCAATAACAGTTTAAATTAAGGATATCTTTGCTCTGTCAGAGTAAATTTAAGTCTGTAGGTGTATTCTTGCATTTCGCTTGTTAGCACTTACAACTAAAAGGATATAAATTGATGCCCTTTGCTCTTTTTTACAGCTGTAAAAGGTACAAATCCCACATCCTTTAAGGGAAAACAGCCTGTGCACAGGAATCGGACATACTGGGTCATGCTTACAAAAACACACTGCATATTTTAACCTGTGTTCAAATATCCTTCACAAAAAAAAGGTCACAAAAACACTGTCGTTGGCTGGATCCAATAGCCCATTCCTTCAAAAAACAAAATTAGTTTTTTGAATATATTTTAAAATGTAATTAATTCCTGTGATGCCAAAGCTGAATTTTCAGCATCATTACTCCAGTCAGTGTCACATGATCCCTCAGAAATCATTCTAATATGCTGATTTGCTGTTCAAGAAACATTTGTCATTATATTTAATGTTGAAAATGGTTGTGCTACATAATATTTTTGTGGAAACCAAGATACATGTTTTTCAGTATTCTTTGGTTCACTGGGTTTGGGAACAGAGCATCAATGTGTAAACGCCTTGTAGAAGGTGATGGAGAGATGCTGATGCACTTGATCCCTTTATTAAAGCTTCTTTAGAAGCGGGGCTCCAATATCTGCCTCATGCCTTCTCTACACTATTATTACCACAGCCTCCCACAAAGCCCTGAGAGACCAAAACACCAGCATCCATTTTCAGCCGGGCGATGTGGAGATTAAGGCCAAGTTTGTTTTTCCGTGAGGCATGGCAGGCGTTACTGGTCATCAAGGTTGTTGCTTTAGGGTTTTGGGGGGCTAGCGTGAACCCAGCTGTTAAAGTCATACCCAATAATCCGGTCCAGAACCATGCCCTACGGCGGTGGAGTGCAAGACCCGTCGACCTGTTGAAAGGCGCTAAAAGCAGGAAGGGCTTATCGCCGTGGCAACCACAGGGTCACACTCTACTCACTGAACATACAACACCACCTCTGTTCTTCACTTGCTACTTTATTTATTAAAGTGAGGGAAATCAAACAGCAAATCTTCAAGAGGGAAAAAAATTCAATTTTGAGGGAACATCTTAAAGGAACAGTTCATCCAACATGTTCCACAGAGAAAAAAAAAATAACTGCATACAATTTCATTTTTGAGTGAAAAATCACTTCAAGGCAGAATCTGATGGAGTGCATCCAAAAAATTGGATGTAGTACACACGATTTAGTCATGTTACAAAGAATACAAGTCTAGTTATAACAGTTCTTCGCACTTAAAAAGGATTTCGAAAGTAAGTGTTGATTATTCCCAGTGTGAAGCAGCTGTGAGGGGTGATGGGAGATAAAAAGTTGAATTCATACACGAGCAGGAATTTCCTTTGGCTTGCTTAAGCCTAGCTGAGAACATTTCCTGTATAAGAAAGTACAGGAAGGAACCAGGAACCAAAGAAACCAGTGAGGCTGCAGAAAGCAAACACCTTTTCCACAGACACAAAGCTGCTTTGGCCCACTAACACACAATCGTAAAAGAAAACACTCCTTACAACAGTGCTTTGACAAGTAAGACTGATTTAGATCACCGAATTACCACTTTTTTCCCCAAGAGCAGCCCGTTATAGCATGACGGACGGGCTACCCGCCCTAGAGTAGCATAAATCGCACATGAAGAGGAAACATTTTTATTTTGATTAATGATTCATTTTATTAGAAGACTAACTACTTAGATTTTTTGTTTTTCCTCTTTTCCTTTCTGTATTTTTGCTACTTAAAGTTTGTCCAGTTGAGTTAATCGCTGACAACACGGCACTGTCAATCAAAAACAAATGTTTTCTCTATGCTGATAACAACTGCCGCCATCCGCCCATTCAACACAGAACACGACAAGGAGGAGAGTTTACAGACTTTACACTCAGTCTCTTCTACATGTATTTCTTTCTGTCTGTCTTACAAGCAAACAGAATACCGCCAAAACACAAACGCATGCAAATCAACTTGAAATTGAAATGTTAAAAACAATCTGCACTGATTACAAAACAGACAAGTTTAGTCCAATTACATAATGAATGACACTTATGAGTCAGTTGTTTTTAGTGAATCAAAGACATATTGCACAACCAGCATAGTCTGATTCCCAAACGAATAACTGTTGAGTCTGTTCGGTTAAGTGAATCAAAAACATAAAGCGCAGCCAGTGTAGTCTGACTCCCAAATGAATGCCACTTATGAATCCATTCTTTTATGTGAATCAAAAACATACGGCGCAGTCAGTGTAGTCAGATTCAAATATTTATTTGTTTATCTATCCATAAAAATACTAAAAGAATTGTTAAGGAACTGGAATCATGAAGAAGAATCGGAAACTTTAAATTCTTTGCAATTCCTATCCAGGCACCAAATTGGTTTTTTTTTGCCATTATTAATTTTTAACACAGATATCCTCCCAAAAATGAAACAAGTCCATAAAAGTTACAAAGACTAGTAATGCAGTGTTACAAAGACTAGTTACAAAGACTAGTAATGCACTGGAGTAATGCATCCCATGCATGTTTCTGTCAGTCGGCGTGTGCATACAAATATGTGACCTATGCGTGAGATTTCCGAATCTCGGCCAATACATGGGCCCACCTCAGGCCGAGGCCAAGATATTGCACAGACTCCTAATCAAGACTACCAAGAGACTCACAATCACCATCACACATAGAGAGCAGCGGCCTCCAGCAAGCTCTACATCACCCTAGTACAGCACAGCGCTGAGGGGTTGCCCTACATTCCTCACTAGAAAATATGCATATGGCCGTTGAGGTGTGTATGAATGAAGGTCTGGAAAACGAGACACTTTGGAGCACTTTTGGAGCGTTTACACCTTGTGTGCTTCTTAACAACATCTGTGGGATCAAAGATTGTTTCTTTAAATATATAATGTTGATGTTGTAATACTGCAGATGTGTGTTCACAAAGATAAATCTGAATATGGGAAGTTACTTAACACTTAACACTCTCCAAAGTGCCTCCTTTCTCAAAACATATTTGAATTAGAAGAGAGCTGCTGCCATCTAGTGCTGCAGTGAATCTACAGCAGAACACGAAGCCAACATTCAACCTTACTGGGTTTGGAAGGGTCTGCCAACACCATGACAAGGTGGACTAATGTTTCTTCCTTGATTTCCTGTGCTCTTCATCCATCAGGTTTTTTATCCAAGGATTACGGTTTTCCAAGACTGCAAAAACATCAGTCATGTTTGGCTGAAGAATAAGACGCCACCCTGCAGCAGGGGTCCAATTTGGAGGGAAAAAAATAGCGCTATCTGGCGGACAAGGAAGGGAACGTTTCTTGACTTTGATGATGAGAACTGCTTCTGGGTCTCATATGGGAGGATAATAATATTCTGGAAAGCAACTGAGGGAGTTTCATTGGAGCTGAACATATGTTAAGAGCAAATGCTGTTCCTGCAGGAATTAAATTCCTATTTTTTTTTCGCAATAGCCAGCGCTGTGCTAATACAGTCAAAACACAGCAGATGTATTATTCATAAAAAGAGATCTTATTTCTAGTTCTATATCGTGATTAGTCTTCAAAACACTACACTTTTGTAGTATTTTTATTATATTGTTCCCCTTAAGTTCATCTAAAACCATAATTTTGGAAGAAGCTTTGCTAAAATAAAGCCAAAATGTCCTGTTTTCCATCCAAAGTTCCCTTTAAATTGAGCCTGTCTCACCTCAGTAAAGAGAAAACACTGTAGGAGTTTCTGACAGAGCTCTGGTCCACCTGAAGCAAACTGTTCTTCTTCCTGTCAGAACTTTCCTGTGGGAAAGAAAACAGTCCATGAGCTTCACAAAGAGTCTCTTCTTACCATATGTAGAATTCTACAGTTTGAAAAACCCAAGAGACATGAGTGAATTCGAGCTCTGATAGATGACAAGGTTTGAAGATGGTCTGGAATTTATTTTGGAGCTCATTCCAAG